AAAAACGAAAATGTTGAATTTGACATTTTTGCCACTATTTTTATCTCTTTAATGGACTAATGGATTTAGAGAGGTCCTCAAGCCACCATTCCGGGAAGTCCTGCCACCTGTTATTTTTGTTTTTTTTTTCTTTTGGTACTGGGGATTGAACTTGGGACCTTCTGCTTGGGGAAGCAGGTGGTGGAATCACTGAGCTAAATCTCCAGCCCACCTGTTGATCTTTTAATAGCTGATTTTTCACATTTGAAGTGGAATTGGATAAACCAGAGCCAAATGTCTACAATAGCCAGCTGGTTCCCCGGGGTGTTATCATTGTTCCAGTTATTTCTGAAATCAGAGTTACCCAGTGGAGCTAGACTGTCCATGCTGTCTTTACACATGAAGACTGAGAGTAACTGTAGAGTGTGTTTTCTCCCTTAAAAGCCACAGCATTATTTTGAAACTTCTTGGATATTAATTAGTGCACTTCAAAGTTAGACATCCCTACTTTTCTTCATTTGAAAAAGCTAAGTGGAGGGACTGTATTTCAGGCAATACAGTAAATTACAAATTTATCATACTAAAACCTGCCCAATACAGTGGTGTTTTTTCAAGATTGTGTGTTTTATTTTATGCCCTTATAATAGTCAGATAATGCTCTCTGCTCACTCCAAAAAGTTAACATCTACATTCTACTTCCCAGACCTTGTGACTTCTGTGGCAAAAGGGACTTTGTAGGTGTGACTAGGTTAAGAATATTGAGAAGAGATTATCCTGGATTAGTCAAGTGGGTCCATTGTAACCAAAAGGATTTTTTACGTGAAAAAGGGAGACATCAGACTCAAGGAGCTGTGGAGGAGGATGAGATAATGTGACCACTGGCTTTCAAGATAGAAGTGATCCATGAACTAAGGATGCCTAAAGAAGGCAGGAAAAGGAATCCTTCCTGTACTCCTCACAGGGAAGCTTGCTTCAAACCCCACGAGATCACTGTGGGTTTGTGACCTTCAGGAGTCAGACAACATGACAGTATTGTTTCAAGCTACTACATTTATGGTAATTTGTGATACTAGCAATAGAAAACTAAGGCAATAACTTTATTGACCTTTATGTGGAGAATTCTAAATTTATTTGCTATGTAATAGATACAGTTCCATATTCTGGTGATAGAGTAACTACAGAAGGAAGAAAATATGGAAAGTAAAGACTTCGTGGCTTGCGAGTACAGCTAAGGTAAGAGCATGTTATGGAGTTTAAATTGCTTCTTTTGTAGTAGTCTTAAATCTTCTGATGATCTCTTTAGCTTCAAAATTACAATAATACAGAACTGAGTGTGAACTTAAAGCCCAAAAACAGTTTTTAAATCCAGATGATTAAGTATATCTTGTGGATTCTTTATGCACAAAAAAGAATCCTGCTCAGAGCTGTCTGCACTTGATCTGCTGTCTTTGAGAGGCCTAGCCAGTTTTAGCCAATTTGGGCCATGGCTGTGTCTTATCAGGTGTCACATAACCCACTATCACAATGCTACCTCCGCCATCCTCCCTGAATTTACACAGGACACTGAAGCAGTTTTCAGCTCCAAATGTTGCATAGACTTTGCCAAATGGCAAAGGCCGAGTTGCCTAGTTTTTGTTGAGTGTAAGTGCAGGGGTGGGGATAGGAGGCAACAGCCCACCAACTTCTGGATCTCCCAGAGACGACAGAGGTGGAAATTACAGTAAGACTAGCAACGGCCATAGCTCAGCTGGGAAGAATGACTTCCTGTGCTGCCTAAAATAGTTTGCAACTGTTAAGCATTTTGGCCTCAGCAGACTACACAGGTGTGGACTGATCTTCACTCTCTACCGTTTTATCTATCGGCTATCAATGTACCACACTTTTACTTTTCTTTTTGTGTCCTTCCTACATCTATTCAGAGTACATGGTTTTTTTTTGTTTTTGTTTTTGTTTTCCTGTGGTATCAGAGGCAGGTACCACAAGGCAGGCAGTGGAGCCACTGAGCCAAATCCCCGGCCCCACATGTTCTTAATGATAGCACACAGTCTAGAGGAAGGGCCAGGGTATATGTTGGTGGTGGGCAGGGAGAAGGAAGCGGAGCTAACATGTTCAATGTCTCTTGCGGGAGAACTTATTCCTTAAAAAGCACATGTCCTTTTTTACCTTCTACCTTTACCTTTTACCTCTAAGCTAAGAATTACAATAAACATCCTTCTGTTACAGAAAAAATCTGATACTTTGCTTTTTTTTTGTCACCCTTCATCTCTTTGCAAACAGACATCCAGTAAAACACACACATAAATACATGGTCAGCCCACATTTATACCTCTGCCAGTTCGTCCCTCACAGGTAAACTTCAGGATGCTCTACTCCAAATAGTTTCCAAATCCAAGCTGCCATATGATTTCATCAAATCAAGTCATTGTTGAGGTCAAACCTTTGAAATGAGAAAAGATGTTTTAATCCATTTACAGCAGATGGGGTCCAACTCCCGCAGTCTTAAGAGCTATAGGGTTAAAATTTTTTAACCCCTTCCGTTACTCCTACCTCCCGCGAGCCTAGCATTTTTCATAACCACTTTCATCAAAATGCATCAGTAGTTACATTTGAACAAAATTAGAATAACAGTGTTCATTAGAAGCCAGTCTCGCAGTAACTGTTGGTGAGGAAATGCTGTGAAAACTGGATTTTGAAAACAAACTTGAAGGTAACTGAGCCATTTTTGTGAGCAGTAACAAAAATAAGACCGAAATTATAGTAGAGAGATATTTAGCAATAAATTTAAAATATTTATGCGAAGAATAATTGAATGGAAAGGACGAGTTACTTCAACTGTACACAATGAAAGTCTGCATTTTAAAACATCTTTGTCTAAATTTATTCTGCTTTCATGGTCATCAAAACACAAACATTTTTGTACCAGAAGCTGCTTTTGATTTTATTTCCTTATAAATGGCACCTCCCCAAATTGTCAGATTGCTTGCATGGCTTACTCTGCAGTTATTTCCCAACTCTTTTTCGTGGTATTAGCTGGAGAGCAGACTGTACTCTGTTCTCAGACATGGTATAGAGCAAAGTCACTTTTGAAGTAGTGCATCACACACGCAAAGCTGTGTGTTCTGGTCTTAGGAGCCCTGGCACAGTACCACGTGACATGCACACAGCCTGCTCCAGAGCCTGCCCTGTGATCCCCCAAAAGTGATCATCTGTGAGAACAAGGCCTGCGAACAGTAAAGGCTATTTATCGCTTGTGGCATTTATGGATATGCATGTTCTAATGCCATCCATCTCGAGTTTAAATTAATTTATGCTACACTTTTCAAATGTTTTATACACAGGGTTTCAATACGCCATGCGATTATGAAAAGTACTGTGCCTTGGGAACATAGAAACTTGATGTTTGCTAGGTGGGAACAACAAAACCGGGAGAAGAATGAATCAAACAGGAGTTGAAGTGAAGAGAGTCATGGACAAACACAAGACCAAGCCTTGATGCGGTAAGTTTTCATTCTGATGAGAGCAGAGTAATCTGATCAGGATGAGCACCAGCCCTCCAAAAGTCACTGGAGGGTCAAGATGCGGAGGGGATCACAGCTGACCTGACCAGGGCTCTAGCACGTCCCCGTCCCCTTCCCTGGGGACGCTCTCCTTACTGGCTACCAGTGGGGTACTCGGGTGTTAGCTGCTGGAATCCACACTGCCTGGCTATTGATGTTCTCCCAGCCAATCCTCTAGCCAATAATGTGAGAGAATGGGTCATAATTCCTTGCCCCTTGTCTAGGGCCAGTACAGCACTGCGTCTTACACCATCCCCAAGCTTTCTGGCAGGTTGGGAAATTAGTGGCCTTCAGTGTTAGCTGGTTTACTAATGACCTCTCCTCAGGTACCTTCCCTGCCTCCCTAATCCTGCTGCTGTTCCCTGCATCCCCAGAAATACTACCTGCCCTTAACCCAGATCTCAAGCGTTTGTTCCCACAGAGGAACCCTTTTAGCTTCATTGCACAGGGGACACAATTCACTTCAAGCTCCTATCTCAGGCTCTACCATCTGAAGATTCGTCCAACTGGAGAAACTAAACTGTGTCTCTGCTGAACTTGTATAGACATTTTCATCATTCCCCAAACAATTAAACAACTTTTACATAACGTTTACATTGTGTCAGAGATGATAAGCAATCTAGAGACGAGTAAAACACTGTAGGAGGATGTGTGTGGGTTATAGACAGACGCTATACCTTTTGTTTTTCTTCTTGGGGTGTTTAAGCATTGAGCCCAGGCCCTTAGCACTGAGTGATAGCCCCGGTTTCTACATTTTATTTTTTAAATTTCAAAATAGGGGCTCCCTAAATTGCTAAGTCACCCAGGCTGAGTTTGAACTTCTACTCCTTCGGCCTTGGCGTCCCAGAATACTGGGGTTACAAGTGTAGGGCTCTTCATACAAGGGCCTGAGCAAGGAAAAGAACTTGGCATCACAGGCAGCTCTACACAACCCCCTCCCCTCCACCGGCACCAGGAGACAGCTGCATCTCGCTTCCCCTGTCTTCTGACAGTAACTAGAAATTGGGTAAAGAGTAGAGATAAAAAGGACAAGACAGAAGTGGGAAGTTAGACAATTCGGTTATTCGATCTGAGGAAAGCAGAGTATCTTCTGGACTGCAACTCCCTGTCAGCCTCAGGAGGTAGTCTCGGGTACACTAAAATGGAGAGTGTACCCTCCTTGCAGCTCTGGGAAAGCTGCTGTGCGTGGCAGGGCCGCTCCCAACGCACACCGTTCTTCTCAGGTCCTGCAGCCTCCCCGGGTGCCCTGGCCAGCTCAGAACGGGAATGAACTTCCCAGGAGACCAGTGCGAGCACCAGAGACAGACGGAGGCCATGGCCGCGTTCGTCCAACTGGGCAATCCAGGTGGTACCGGAGCAGCGTCCTTTCTCCACCTGTGGGCAGGACTTCCGGGGACTTCTCAGCTGCCCCGTGTACCCATTGATTCCGTAGAAATAAGGGGTCACTCTTTATGTCACCTTCATTTTAAGCCCTTAACTGTTAACAGAGAGATTGCTTCACTTTCTGGTCAGCAGACCAGGAAAATGAAAACTTCACTCTAGGTTTAGATGTTTCCTCAGAGGGTCTTTGTAAAAAACATTATGAAGCGTAATTTCTTGAAGCGTTTCCATCACTGCGAGATCTTTGTAGGCCCCCAACTGCTCCCTGAGCATGGTGCCTTCCTGGATCCTCATCAGGAAAGGACAGGCCCAGTAGGCCCTAGAAGGTGAGAAAGCAGCCGAAAGGGGTCCAGACGGGGGGGCCCCCAAGCCTTGAAAAGGCCTTTCCTCCTCCCACCCTCCCGGAGAGGTGGGGGAGGTTTAGCCTCTCGGCGGCGGCGCGGCGAGGTGCAAATGCGCAATGTCGGTTTCTTTACTCGGGCTGCCTCTGCCGAGGCCTAGAATCCACTGCGGAGCCCGATCGCCCCGGCCCACGAGTGTGGCCCGCGGGGTCTCCCACAGGTCACGGGCGGCCCTCTCGGCTCG